ACAGATAGATATAGACAAATATATAGATGGATAAGCCACGTAAGCCACGAAAGCCAAAAGCCACAGAAGCCACGAAAGCCAAAGCCACAGAAGCCACGAAAACCAAAAGCCACAAAAGCCAGAAACCACAGAAACCAGAAGCCGGAAGCCACGAAAAACACAAAAAAATCAGTTAAAAACGCAAAAAAAACCTAAATTAAATGGCCCTCCGATTGAAACCGATCATTTGCCTCAACCGAGCGCTGATGAGAGGGAGAGAGAGGGAGAGAGCGTCCAGTACGACCTGCAAGGGAGAAAGCGTCCCCTGAGAACTTGGCAAATCACCGAACAAAGAGAAGATAGAGTGTATAGTGTGTAGAGAGAGGACTTATTGGTGGGGATAGACGGTATAGAATATATATGAATGTATAGAATACGCGATTCAGTTCATTTTTAGAAATGTTCATCCGGGCATCAGGGTCACATCAACATCCCAGCCTGCAGCTTCATAGTCTTTGCCATCTGTTGGGAGAAAACGACTCAACCAAGCAATATCAAGCAATGCAAGGTGTAGGCGGCATTAGGCACCACCAATCATCAAGACAACGCACCAGTTGAAGGCTTTCGGCAGCGTACAGCTTGAACAAAAATCAGGGGCATGGGGGCCGGGGGCGCCTTTAGATATTAATAGATTCTAATAAAGTCATTGTGACCCGGACATGTCGCACCGTGCTACCAGTTCCTAGCTTCCTAGCTTCTTAGTAAGGCCAGGAGCTCCGTTCGTAGCGTCGAATCGCACCCCGCGACCGGGCGGCGAATCCGTCTCGGAATGTGGACCTTGGCACCACGCATGGTGAAATCCGTTTTGGGGGTTTAAGATGTTTGGTCTAGGGGGCTTAGGGTGAATACCATGGAGTCCGCTGTTTTTTGTATTTTCACCTAGAAGCGATGATGTTCTCATGGCCGAATTTGTAAAGCATCCCTGGTCAGTTCAACGTGTGATGGTTGAGAGTCTCCATGATCCGATCGCGCAATGTCCAACCCTTTTTGTTGGGAGTGTCCGTGTCCCTGGTGAGAGCGGACACCCGGCGAGTCCCGAAGTGAGTCCCTTCAAGCACCTTTGGGAAAAAACACACACATGTCATGTCCTTAAAAACCTACTCTGCAGTAGAAAAGTTCTTTCTTTCTGGAAAACCTGCACTACTTAATAGATTGGCTTCCATTGGTCTACTCAGGTGTGACCCTGGAGCTCAGAGCTTGGTCAGCCACGCTCGTGGTCCTGGACGCTGCAGAGCAGCGCCGCTGCCAACAGCTGCTGGCAGCGGCTGCAGGTAGAAGTGAGAGGTTAGGAATGGGTAGAGGAATGATGACAAATGCTTTTGAGGAAGGTTTAGGATACTTGTGGATCGATTGCCAGAAGGTGTTTGGTGAAGCGGGCCAGGGTGACACTACCTTGTGAGCTAGACAGACTTAGGTGGAAAGATGAGCCTGATGGAATCATTTCCCTCCTTTGCCACCTAAATCAATATGTGCGTGTGAGTTGGTCCAGTGTATGTTCCTTCATTGAACTGAGCCCGTGAACATCAGTGATTCAACCAACGAGGAAGTGGAAAAGTGTTCCTTAGCCTTGTCAGACGGTCTTGTTATATTATCAAGGTTGCTTTATCACAAAGTGTTTCACTTCCACCTGAGGACCTAAAGTTCAATTGTCAAGCCAACAGCAAAAACATGGGCCGTTGGTTTCCTGGGACACATCGGATGCTTTTTGTTTCATCCCATGATCCCATGTGCAAAAAGAATTGTGTTTTGAGATGCGTCGTGTTAGCATGATTCTACACCCGCCTCGTGTTTTGTGTTTTGTGTTTCGTGTCATCGTTCCTTCATTCGCTTGAAAAGACCGGTGGCGCGATCAGGGCAAGCATATCCAACGAACAACTCAAAAATAGTATCCTGGCTTGTTTTAAAGATGGTTCATTCATTGTTTTTCCCGAAAGCATTGCGAAGGGTTCTTCCGGAAAATCCTTTGAACACTGACACTTCGACACTTACACTTCGACACTCACACTGACACACTTACACTTCGACACTCACACTGACACACACACACACACACTGGAAGAGCGAAAGCATCCAAGTGCGAAGTATACCAGGGCGAAAGCATCCAAGTGCGAAGTATTGCCAGGGTCAAAGTATGCAAGTGTGAGTATGCAAGCATGCAATGACTATGCAAGGGCAAGTGTGAGTATGGTAAATATGGAAAACTAGCACGGGAGATGTCCTAATGAAAAAACATTCCCCACTTTATAAATTCTCTCTTAAAGGCGGAGTGTGGGACGAACAGCGTCAACCGAAAGTGCAACCCTCTGCGGAGATCGTGCGTGTCGAGTGCGCGAAATGCAGGC